CTCATTTTCCAAGTACTGTGCTTTTTTTTTTTTTTGGGGGGGGGGGAGGGATTCGAGACAGGCTTTCTCTGTGTAGCTTTGCGCCTTTCCTGGATCTCGCTCTGTAGCCCAGGCTAGCCTCGAACTCACGGAGATCCACTTTATTTTCTGAAGGTGTGCACTCAAAAAAGTGTGTGGACACTCCCTAAATGACAGACATTTTAGGTGATCTTGTTCAGTTCTTATCTTTTTGGTCCTACTTCGCTAGGACCTCTTTGGTGGGTGGGGTCTTCCCGTCAGAGCGGGAACGTGCTCTGCTGCCCAGCTGTTTCATTTCTTTCCAGGCTATGAATTAGTCAGGTCTGTCTTGCAACTGTGTGTGTGTGTGTCTTTCCCTGCTTCAGTTCCCAATGAAGCCACACAGAAGACCCTTGATGCCCCACACCTTCCCTTTCTATCTCAGGCTCTGCTCACTGATGCCCTCCACACACGAGGGCTTCTTTAAGGCCATCTCAAGCTTTTCTGATGTCCAATACACCACGCTCTGCTTCTGCTTTGAAGTTTAGAACACAGCTCACAACTAATCACATGGCCGTTCTGTCTTGCCTGGGCTCTCCCTTCTAGATTGGGGGGGTATGTAACACATCTGTTTCACCAGGTAGACACTGTTGAAAAAGACAACCCGGGAATGGCAGGGTTAACACCCACCATTCTGAACTAACCAAATTCTGCTGAAGCTGGTGTACTACACACCTGTAATCTCAGCCACCAGGAGGCTAAGGCAGGGGGCAGCTGGGCATATAACTCAATGGAAGAGGAATTTCCTAACATTTCCAAGGCTTTGGGGTCAATCCCCAGCACTGGAAAAAAACTTTCAGTGATCTACATGAATGAATTTACTAAAGTCCACATTCCCATGTGCTCCTTGGGTAGGAAGCTGCATTATTTCAAGCATTCTATATGAGTTTTGCCCACCATTGTCACACCTTGTAAAGCACAGAATTCCAGAACCAGGGCTTATTTGTGAGTCTGAGAAACACAAAGAATTCAAAGATTGACTCTCTACCTTTCCTTGCTCAAGGTTAGATGAATGAAGACTCCAAAGTTCTTTATTTCTTTATGTGTCTTTTTCTTTTAATTTCTTTTCTGCTTCAACACCCCCCACTCCCATTACCCAGAAAGCCCAGGACTGGCAATTAAACAAGAGACCTCAAACAGCCAAGGCAAGCCAGCCCAAGATTAGCAGACTCCCGCCAACAGGACCCAGATTCTGGATGCGAGTGTCGCCACTCAGAGCCTGGTAGTAAAAGCTGGTACAGAATAAGGTAGTTCCAGAAGCTAGCAGTAATCCTGCCTGAAAGAGATGGGAAACAGAATACAGTATTTTAAGAACAAAGCAGTATGAGAGATTGGATGGGGTATGATCAGAATTAGGCAAGGGGACTAATTACCCAGAGAGGCTTTCTGCAATAGGGTACCCCTAACAGGGCCAGGCTGTGAAAAAAGTGGTGCTTGTTGGCCTTGTCAAAGAGCTGGAAGGGGGGAAAAAAAAAAGGTAGAGAGACATCGTCTAAGCAACACAGGAGCCCAGGAACCTGAAGTGACACACAGGACCGAAGTCCACTCCTCGCACACACCGCACTCTGTGTTTGCTACTCCCCCAGGTCCCCAAGCCACAGGCTTGCAGCCCTTCCCATTCATCTCCCCACCCTCTACTTTCAACATCCCTACCCTCCAGTTTAAGGACACCCAGATATTTCGCCTGTAGTCCCGACTCCGGGAGTCCCAATGCTATTACTTCACCTCCTTCCCGTAGGCATCCGGAAATTGGGCGCCTGTGGAGAGAAGCGAAAGTGATCAGATGTGTTTTAGCCTCCACCGTCCCAAACCCCGGAGAACCCACGCAGACACCAGTGAAAAGGGGCATCCCCAGAAGCTTCCGATTGGTGGAAATAGGTGTCGAGTGGTACTGAGAAGCCTTTGCACCCACTGAAAAACTGGACTCCAAGGGACCTCTAGTCCATAAGAGACAGAACGCTTCCTATAGGTTCCTTCCCGCACCAGACCCCAAAGGTCGCCCCCGCCCAGTTGCATCCCTCGTCCCCTGACCGTGTGCCCCGTAGGTGGCCAAACCCAAGGCCCCAGCTCCGGACAAGGCACCTAGGCGGCGGAAAGCAGACCCTACCACGGCCATGGCTGTGGGTGGTCACGCGCAGAACCAACACCGCCCTGGCCACCCAAGAAGCCAGCCAATCCAGATTGCCCATGCAAATAAGGTCCACAGGTACCCAATCAGGGCTGTGTTCATTTCAGTGCCCCGGCTCCTTCCACAGACGCCTTTGTAAAACTTCTGCTGAGTGGAGAAGACGTCTGGCGGGCGGAGAAACTGGAACCAATTAGGAGCGGAGGAGCGGAGCAGTGGGAGGCGAAGTTGTGGGCGGTACTAAAGGACTTGCGTCACGGATTGGCCCACTTTCCAAGTTGATCGCCGCTTCGACACCCCAACCCCACACCTCCAGCTAATTTGCAAAGATATCGGTCCCCACACAAAGTCCCGCCCCTTTCCCCGCAGGCTCCTCCCGTTCAGCTTCTAATCAGACCCTCTCCTCAAAAGGGGCGGCCCCACGGATGCCTAAGCCCCACCCATTGCCATCCAGCCCCTCCCACTTCACGAATGGCCCCTCCCCTGTGCCTAGAGGCCCCGCCTTTTTGTGTGAGGCCCTGCCCTCTGCATTTCAGATCTTCTCCCCCTTGCTAGACCCGGAGAGCCCCGAGGGTGGGAGATCCGGGGGGAAATGTCTTCACCCTGCCCCAGCCCGCTACGTCCATCCGTCCGTCTGTCCACTCCCACCCCCGTCACTGTCTTCAATCCCCCCACACTCTAGAGGGCGGGTGGGCAGGCGAGTGAGAGCGAGGGGTGTGCGCCGCTCTCTCGGCAGGGGGCGGGGGAGGCGGCCGCGCGGTGACGCGCGGGGCTGCTGCGGCTGCTCCGCCGGCGGATCATCACTCTCGGGCTGGGATGGACGCAGGGCGGGCGGGCCCTGGCGCGCAGAGCCAGGAGTCCGGGCCTCCTGGCTGCTGAGCATTCCCCAAAGCCTCCCCCAGCCCTTGCCTTCCTTCCTAGGAGCCGCGCCGACCTCTGCCTCGAGGCTCCGGACTCGGCCCCCGCCCTCTTCTGACTCCCCGGATCTCCCTCTCCCGCCCGCCCTCGGGATCGACTAGATCCCTCCCCCCTCCCCGAGGATTCCGGCTGGATCCCTGCCCCTGCACCGCGGATTCTGCGCTCCGGGGCCCCGGGCCCCTGGGGATTGCTGTGGACTCCTCCTCCAGCGCCCGATCCCTTAGGATCTTCCGCCTGGACCGCCTCTTGGTCCCTCGAAGCCGGCCCAGAGAGCCAGTGGATCTCCAATCCAATCCTGTCCCGTTGCTCCCTCCTGGCTCAGCCTTCCCCACTGCGGGGTTCCCTGTTCTTGAGCTCCCTCTGACCCCATACCCTAGCTTTCCTTTTCCCGGGGATCGACTGGATCCCGGCCCCGCCCCCCGGGGCTGGGGCGATCCCCCTCCCCCGCCGGGTGAGGCGCTGCAGGCGGGGGCTGGGCCTGCGGGGCCGCGGGGGCTCAGAGGCCGCCGCCCCCCTTCTGAAGCCCGTCCGCCCCCCACTCGGAGCCCTGGATGGAGGCACCACGGCCCCAGGGCTGATCCAGGTAGGAGCTAAGCCAGGCTGGGTGGAGGGGGCTGCGCGGCGGTCCGTTGGGGTCTTCCTCTTCCCATATTCCTCCCTGCGCCTGGTTTCCCCTAGCCTGCTCTGTCTGCGTGTCTCCGCCTAGGGATGCTCTCGCCGTGTCTCTGCGTCTTGGTCTCTTTGTCTCTGCCTCTCTCCAGTCCATGAATGATCCTTTGAATGGGCCCACAGACCCCGTGTGTTCCCATCTCCCCCTCCCCCTCCTTCTCCCCTTCCCGGCCAAGCCATTTTCCCCACTGCAGGAAGGGGGGGGGGGCTGCGGCCTGAGCCCCTGTCCCTCAACTCTCCCCGGTTGGGGGAGTCAGGCCTGGGCTGGAATGGAAGAGCAAGGCAGAGAGGAATCGGGAGAAGGGGGAGCAAGATGTAGCAGACAGAGATGGAGAGAGAAAATGGGGGAGAGAGAAACAGAGAAAGGAGAGAGAGCGAGAGAGCTCTTGAGGGAGAAAAATCAGAGAAGGTATTTGGAGGAGAGAGCGATGAGAAACATCAAGGAGACAAATGAGAAAAGACCGAAGGATGAGACTGGAGGCAAGAGCTGGAGCGAGCCGGTTCAGGCCAAGAAAAGATGCTCCGAGAGACCCAGTACAGAGGAGAAGGGGGGGGGGGAGGACTCTAGCGGGATTGAAGAGAGAAAAGCTAGTTGGAGGAGAGGAGGCAAGGGGCCCAAAGTGCCTTAAGGGAAAGGGGTGGCTGAGGCAGGCCATGTTGGGAAGAGGAACAGCAAACCCCGGCCTGGCATAGGAAGAGGAGACCGGGCGGAGGGGGGCGGGCGGAGGGGGGGGGGAGTCAACTCCAAACCCCACTCAGGTGATGGGAGAACAGAGGCCTAAAAGGACCTGAAAAGGGGGAGGGCATGACTGGGTGTGAGTGGTGAGGACTCCTGTGTCCCCATCTCTGGAATAAATTGACACCTGCAGAGAGCCACCCGCGGGCTGGCGCCTGGCTCTGAAAAACCCGGCGTCAGCAAACAGCCCTGGAGACTGGGGGGGGGGGTGCTGGGGGGGGCTTGCTGAAATGACCTGGGTGTCTGCCCTGCCTACCTCTGCCTAGCCCTGCCCCTGCAGCCTGAGCACCCAGGCTGGCAAGGGGAAGGGGAGGGAGGGCTAATGGAAGGGATGGGATGAGAAGAAACCTGAGGTCAAAATGCTGTGCAGAGAAACCCCAGATGGGGTCTGAGGCTGTTCGAAATTATGGAAGGAGGAAGTCAGTAGGCTTATTTGAGAAGCCCACTTCAGTACAGCATCCCCCCCCCCACCCCTACCAGAGACCTGGTCAGTAGGGTTAGGCTCTGATTGGCTAAGTGGGATGGGGGGGCATCTCTTTTAGGATTCTCTGTTCTCCTAGACTATGCTTCCCCTCATACACACTTCTTCCTCTCTGCTAAGACTGGGTGAAACTAACATTCTGACTCATGCCTCTGTCCTCCCTCTCATGGCGCGAGTGGACCCTCAAACCAAGCAGGCCCCTTCCCCTCTTCCTCTAGACCACCCCCCTCCAGGGTTAAAGCTGCAGCCGGTTGCCGAGGTAACATTGCGGGGCAGCATCCTGTCGCCCAGCAACCGGCTGCAGGATCATGCATCTGTCCCTGGATTTTGCCCCTTCAGCATCCCCTCCTCACTTTAGCCCCTGGCTCTGGGCACCCCAACTTCCAAGGGACGACATGGAAGGGCCTGAGGAGAAAGAGAGGGGTTCCCGAGTGCACAGATCCTTAGGGAATGATACATTGATGGGGACAGGAGGCACCACGGGGGTTTTGTAGTCCAAGAAGGCCCAGAGTCTGGCCTGGGATGGGGGTTCAGCGCCATGAAATTACAGCTCAGGAGTAATTAACACGTATAAACAAACCCGCCACTTCCTGCTAATTAATGACTTGGTATTTTTATTTTCTCTTCCTCGTCTGTCTCATTGTCTCCCAGGGAAGTGGGGACTGGAAGTCCTGTGTCCCTAGGGGGAGCCTGCCTGGGAGGGACTGAGGCAGAAAAGGGGCACCCTTGAGTCCAGGAAGTTCCCTTCTCTGCCCCTGCCCTGGACATTTACCACATCTGACCCCACCCCAAACTTGGGTCTCTGCGGAGGGGAGGAGGGCAGCTGGGGGGAGGGGAGAGGTGTTGGGGGGTCTGTGGGTGGGAGAAAGGGGCAACTTGATCTGAAATTCAAGCCACTAACCACTTGTCTCTTGTTTCCCCGTCCTTCCTGTCCTCCCCATCCAATCTCCCTTCCCTTCCTCCACCTCTCTGTATTTTTCTGTCTGTTTGTCTGTCTGTATCTTGCACACCCTCTCCGGGTCCCCTGTCCTCCCCTGCCACCGGTCACCGGGCAGGTCGGGCCTGCCTGCACCTCCTCCCACCTTCCTCCCCTTCCCCACCCCTCGCCCCCTCCATGGAGAGGAACAGACCCCTCTTCTGTCCCTTCTAACCCAGGTCCCTACCCGTCCCCCTCCTCCTTCCTTTCCCCGCCCCCTCCTCCCTCCTGGGGCGAGGGGGGCCTCCCTCCCTCTCCCCCCCTTCTCTCTCTCTCCGAGGGGGGGGTCAGGGGAGGGAGGGGGGGTCCCCCAATCAGCATGTGGCTCCTGGCGTTGTGTCTGGTGGGGCTGGCTGGGGCTCAACGGGGAGGAGGGGGTCCCGGCGGCGGCGGCGGCGGCGGCGGCGCCCCTGGCGGCCCGGGCCTGGGCCTCGGCAGCCTCGGGGAGGAGCGCTTCCCGGTAGTGAACACAGCCTACGGGCGAGTGCGCGGCGTGCGGCGCGAGCTCAACAACGAGATCCTGGGTCCGGTCGTGCAGTTCTTGGGCGTGCCCTACGCCACGCCGCCCTTGGGCGCCCGCCGCTTCCAGCCGCCGGAGGCACCGGCCTCGTGGCCCGGCGTGCGCAACGCCACCACCCTGCCGCCCGCCTGCCCGCAGAACCTGCACGGGGCCCTGCCGGCCATCATGCTGCCTGTGTGGTTCACCGACAACTTGGAGGCGGCCGCCACCTACGTGCAGAACCAGAGCGAGGACTGCCTGTACCTCAACCTCTACGTGCCCACTGAGGACGGTAAGGGCACGGGCACAAGGCCGGGCACCCTGTGGACACAGCCCACAAACGCACACGCAGACCCTCAAGCACAGGACCGACTCCTGCCCCTAAGCTGTGCCCTAATGGGCAATGAGGGGCAGTATGCCCCTGCAAGCCTCCGCGCATCTCCCAGGTAAGGGTGCCTGCTTCCCAGGCAGTCCTAGGAGCATCCCATAAATAGCCTCTTCCACAGCAGAAACTCTTTGTGCCCCAGAAGGAAGGGTAGCTGGCATTAGGTCAGGCTCGCCCATCCTCTCCCTAAAGAGGCACACTGTCAGATACTAAATGTTGATGGCTGGTGTTCAGGTGGTGGATGTCTCCATGGCTTGCTCAGTCACTCCAGCCTTACCTCTACCTCCTGCCTTCTCCTACTTAACTACATCCACATTTTGCTTCCAGCCATACCACACAGAGCCTCATCCTCAGGCCCACCTGCCCTGACTTCTCTCTATCATATGGCACCTATTAGTCCTTTATCTGAGTTGAGAATCCTTGTGAGGGGCACTCAGTGACTTCTTATGGGAGATTTCTGTCCTCAGAAATCCCTACACACAAAGGTCAGGGAAGCTTCTTCCACTCACGACCGTTCACACACAGCACAACAACCCATCCGAACATTTTCCTTGGGGCTGAGACGCTGTTCTTGTGAATGAATTCCTGTTCACTGTATGACAGCTCTGTACCCCAGCACCTGCTCCCGGATAGCTTTCCGCTCACCGACCTTCTGCACACCAAGATTAATCAGAACCTCTTCTACGGTCTGCAACGGATCCCAGCTACCCAAGGGTGGGACCACAGCATCACAAAGAGCCCCCACATTACCCTTCTGACATACAATCTCACCGTTCCAAAACATTTCAACACCTTCACGGAGCAGACTCCGCTGCATGCTTGCCTCCTCCAGCAACTGTGTCTGGTAACTTTACATTCAGGCCCGGCAATAGGAGCCCCCGAGGAATCCCATACGCCTGCACTGTGTACTAAAGTTCTACAGTAACTGAATCTCAACTGCTCCAAATGACCATTTGCCTAGTTGACCGTGTGCTCCAATATCTTAACAGTTACAGCTCCCAACCCCTTCACAGAGTACACAACACATGCCCAATACTTCCCTGAAATGGTATTCCCATTACTCACACAGACTCCAACTTTCCAGTATCCCTGGATGCAAATTGTGTGCTCTGGTCCTGCCCACATGTGCATTTTATGCCCACATACCCTGCACACAGACTTGTTGGCAGGTGTCGACAGCATCCTCAACACTTCGTTGACTCCATCTCCTGTCTGGAGCTCACCCTTCTGAAAGGTCCAGTACTAACAGCTTATACCTTGCACCAAGATTCCTCTCCTGACAATCACAGAATGACTCATATGCCTTAACCTGTCCATTTCCATCCTCATCTCGCTCATATGGACCAACTGCTGCCCCTCATTCCAGCCCTGCAGACTAGCGAGCTCCCCTCTCCCTATAAAACCATGACTTCTAACAACCTCGCCACAAGATCTTTCTGCCCTTTCACTTAGGAGTCCTTCACCTTAATATCTCCCACAGATGCCCCGCAACACTACGATTCATTGACTCTCCATTGCTCTCTCTCTCTCTCTACTCTGTGTGTGTGTGTGTGTGTGTGTGTGTGTGTGTGTGTGTGTGTGAGAGAGAGAGAGAGAGAGAGAGAGAGAGAGAGAGAGCGCGAGCACACACACCCGTGCATGTGTGTGGTTTTTTTGAGACAGGGTCTCACTCTTGTAACCTAAACTTGCCTAGAACTCACTATGAAGCCCAGGCTAGCCTTACACTTTTGATAATCTTCTTGCTTTAACCTCCTGAGTGCTGGGTTTACAGGCATGAGCCGCCATGATCGATGCCACCCACATTTTCACATGGTCTCATCCACTCATGTCTCCCTCTTGGGAGCTTTCTCATCACTGCCATGTGAAACATCGGACTCTTCTCACCGCTGGACTGTCCACTCCATCTCCACACAAATTGTCTCTCCCCTGCCTCCGCACCGCTCATTCCCACACCTTCTGTATTTTTAGCCTTTGCATATTGCAGACCTGACTGGGGCCTGGCACATCAGGTGATCTCACTGAATCTTCACACCAGCTCCAGGAGGAAGTGGTTCGCGCACACACACACACACACACACACACACACACACACACTTCATAGCTTCACGGTCATGAATAGCCTGCTGACTTCATCCCTACCCATATCCTCTCACGAAATAGAGGCCCTGTTCGCAAGTGGATCATCGGTTAGTTAGTCGGTTAGTGCTAGCCTGAGCCTCCTTGACCCATCCCTCCTTGAGCTTTGGGGAAAGCCAGTCAGCGCGGGGAGCTCCCTGAGACTGTTCAGATCCAGCGCTCCCCTGACTAACCCCCGAATCCAGAACAGTCTGACACCGGGCTCTGGGCGGTCTGGGACTTTTCCCGATGTTAGGACCATTTTGTCTCCCCGCCAACACCTACTTTGTGTGTCAGACTGGCCCAAGCGCTGCTTCCTGTTTGCTGTTGGCAGACGAATATCCCCAAGGGGGAGGAGGGCTCTTTAGCAGGGAACCTAGGGTGGGGCTGGTGATCCTGTGGGGGGGCAGAAATCACAATTTGGTGGGGAGGAGAAGAGGCCTGGGCAAGGGAGGAGGTTGGTGGGAGTGTGGAGGGTTAAGTTGGAGTGGAGGGCAAGACCTGATGACCCCTTTCCCTGCTCTGCCCACATTGGGGAACTGGGACAAGAAGCCAGGCCTGTGAGTGTGGATGGAAGAGAAGTACTGGTGGGTGAGGCTGGGTAGATGGGCAGGTGGGCAGCCCTGGCTGATGTACCACAGCCCCTCAGTCGGCAGCAGAGGGCTTCTGGAGGCAATGAGCTACTGAGCTTACGGGGTGGTCTGCCCCCAGCACATCCTACCCTCTGATGCAAAGGGAAGCAGAGTCCTCTCTGCGCAGCCTCCTCTTACCACCTGAGGTGGGCAGCCCGTAGCACGCGGCTGGCCCTGAAAGGAGCCTGCATGAAAGATGGCCTGGGTGGCAGGCCAGCCTTGGTGTCCCTGGGCTCCCCTCCACCCCCTCCCCCTAACACTATTTCATTTCCAGCAAATAGCAAACACACCAAAAAGCCAAATCCTTTCCAGTTAAGTCCCTGTGTCTCAAGAGAGCCTCAGCCCACTCAGGCCCCACCCCCAAACCCACCTTTTCTTTGGGGCATGACTTTTTCTGGGGAGGGGAAAAATTGGGTTATAGAAACGTTTTTCTCTTTTCTTGGTTTCTTTTTCTTGCAAACAAATTTTGCTTTTTTTGGCTTATTTTTTCTGCCTCTCCCCACCCTCCCCTTTTCTGCTTTCTCTCCTCCCCTCCCCATCTACCGCCTCCCCTGACCCCCATCTTTCCCCACAAAATTGTCCTTTTTTCTCTGTTTTGTGTTCCCGGTCTTAGGTCCGCTCACAAAAAAACGTGACGAGGCGACGCTCAATCCGCCAGACACAGGTAGATTTAAAAATCCCGCTGATGCATGTGGTTGCTTTGAAGAGGACGTTGATGGCCCTGCCCCTAACTAAATGTCCCTATAGCCCTCAAGGCCCCTCAGTCGTTCTCCCAACTAAAAATGAAAAAGAAAAGAAAAAATTTTAATAATTGGAAAAAAGAACTATGAAAAGTTCAAACAAAATTTGAACAAAGTTGGACCCACTAGTTAACCTGCGAGAAAAGCTAGCCACGGTGAAAGTGAGGTGGGAGAATGAAAAGGAATTGGATTGCCAGGGAAAAAAAATTGGACAAGATGTCGAGAGTTTGAAAGAAATCTGGACTGTTTTGCAACATGTGAAATGTACCATTTGAAAAAAAAAAAAAAGTTTTAATTTGAAGCAAAATAATATTTGAAAAAAACGGACAAATTAATGACATTCATCAAAACATCAGAAACCTGTTACAATTTCTAACCAAAAGCCTGCCAGATTTTAAAAAAAAAAAAAAAATGTAAACATCTGAAACAAATCAAAGAATTTGGAAATTTTTAAAAACAGGGCCCAATATCTTGAAGTTTCACCCCAAAATTTTGAAATAACGCAAATAATTTTTTTCTTGTTTTCTTTTTTTCCCAAATGGAGCTTTTTGTTTTTTCTTTTCTTGTTGAATCTGCCCCAAGAGCTTCTTGCTTTTTTTGTTGTTGTTTTTTCTTTCTTTCTTCTTTCTTGACCCTGGTTTTTGTTGTTGGTTTTGAAATCTTGTTGCCCCATCCCCTCTTCCTGCTCCCTCCCTTTCTAACACCCTCCCCCCACACTGGGAGAGGGCTTGGGGGAGGGTGGGCGAGAAGGAAGACATTTAGGACAGGACCCTGGAAGGAAGGACATTGTCGCCAGCCCGCCCGCCCGCCTGCCGGAGACTTGTGTCAAGTTAGGGCTGGAAGCGGTGGCGGGCTCTTAGGGGTGGACACAGAGAGAAGTCCAGAGACGCAGAGAAGATCTCAGAGCAGGAGGCAGAAAGCCAGCCTGGAGGCTTGGAAAGGGCGTGCGTGCCCTATGGCTTGCAGGTTGACCTTCTGTGTTGGCACAGGTGCTGGCTATGAGCTGTAAGGGCCCAAACCTGGCTCCCAAGGCAGGTGTTAAACAAGAACTCTGCCACTGAGCATGCCCACCAAGTATGACCAGAGTTCGAGTGAGCTGGAGTTGACCCCAGCCTTGGGACTTCAGTGAAATCAGGGTAGCAGCGGGGAGGTAGGCCGGAGTCTTGAGGACCCCGACAAGCCCTCCAGACTCCCACGCACCCTCTAGGAATTTTCATTCCTTAGCCGGGTCCAGAGCTTCCTGGCCTTGCTGCCTGGGGCACCTATGGAGAAGATTCTTCTAGACTATGGCAAGCGGGCTTCAGTGGAGGACAGGCCAGTTTGGAGGGCGGGGAGTCCAAGAGTCAGAGCTCTACTCTGACTTCATTAAGCAGGCTCTTTCCCACACTGCCTCCTCCTGCCACAGTAATTAGGCTGGGGGTTGCCATGGTAACTGGGGAGGTGACCTAGAAAGGAATTAGGGCGGGGAGGAGACCAAGCCCCCAGGGACCCTAGGGCCTGGCACCCCTCACCCACAGACTAGGGTGCCATGTGGAGCTGAGGCCCAAGCCTGAGTCTGAGGCGATGCCAGGGCCCTCCCAGCACCTCCAGCCCTAGTCCCAGCCTTGGTCCGCTCTACCCAGGAGCAGGAAGGAGTTTTGTTGTGTGTGTGGAGGGGTCCCTGGCTTCAGCAGAAGCCCCGAGGAGGGCCACTTCCTACCCTTGGCCTCTGTTGGGCTTCTTGGAAAGTGTGCCCAACATTTGGTGAAGTACTTGGAGTCATGCTAGCCAATGATGAAGAGGGGCCTTCCTCTAGGGTTAGCTGGGGAGGGAGGGAGGGGAATCCGGTCTTGCCCCCCCGCCAGGGATGGTAGTGACAAGTCTCCCGAGCTCCAGGCTGGTCCTCAGAAGGCCTGGGAGCTCCGAAGTGCTGCTTCTGGTCTGACTGTGTCCTTGTCCCCGATCTCCTGGCCCACCTGCCACCCCCTTCCCACGCAGATATCCGGGACTCTGGGAAGAAACCAGTGATGCTGTTTCTACATGGCGGCTCCTACATGGAGGGCACTGGGAACATGTTCGACGGCTCAGTCCTGGCTGCCTATGGCAATGTCATCGTAGCCACGCTCAACTACCGTCTTGGGGTGCTCGGTGAGGGTGGGCAACCAATCCTTGGGGGGCAGAGTCTGGGAGGCAGTGCTGGTGGGCCTGGTCCTCCCGAGAAGAGCCTTAGAGACTTAGAGTGCATCGAGCTCCCTGCAGAGGGGGTAGGGACGATGTGGCACCTCCAGGGAGTCCCTTTTTTCACCCCTAGGTTTTCTCAGCACTGGTGATCAGGCTGCAAAAGGCAACTATGGGCTCCTGGACCAGATCCAGGCCCTGCGCTGGCTCAGTGAAAACATTGCCCACTTTGGAGGTGACCCTGAACGCATCACCATCTTTGGGTCGGGTGCGGGGGCCTCCTGTGTCAACCTGCTGATCCTCTCCCACCATTCAGAAGGTACCAGCCGCCTCCTCCCCTGCCTTCCCTTTCCCTGGACCCTACCAAGCCTCTCCTTCTTTGGGGCCGATACGGTCTAGCCTGAGGTCTGCCTGTCCCACCAGGACTCTTCCAGAAGGCCATTGCTCAGAGTGGCACCGCCATTTCCAGCTGGTCTGTCAACTATCAGCCGCTCAAGTACACGCGGCTGCTGGCAGCCAAAGTGGGCTGTGACCGCGAGGACAGCACCGAGGCTGTGGAGTGTCTGCGCCGGAAGTCTTCCAGGGAGCTGGTGGACCAGGATGTGCAGCCTGCCCGGTATGGGGGCGGGAGAGGGCTGGGTCCAGGTCTGTACGGTCCTAGCTGGTTCTGAGGAGATGGCGGCGGCGGCGGCGAGAAGTTCCGGGGGACATTGTAGTGGGCAAGGGGAAATGGGCTCCAGACCCCCCTAGTGGCTGTCCCTTAGCAGCCTCCCTCAAGTGAAGGTCACCGCATCACATAGCTCAAGCACAGGGTTTCACAGAGTGCTTTAGGTGGCTCTCCAGAGAAGTCCAAATGCCATGAAGGACTCTAAGAGTCTTCCAGTCATGGAGGAGGGTTTTCCAGGCAGAGGGGAGCACCCGTGTACGACTTAGGAGGCCATGGGTCCAGAGGAGGCCAGAACTGGATGGTGAGACCTTGCCCCCCTTCTCCGCAGCTACCACATCGCCTTTGGGCCTGTGGTGGACGGCGACGTAGTTCCCGATGACCCCGAGATCCTCATGCAGCAGGGAGAATTCCTCAACTACGACATGCTCATTGGTGTCAACCAGGGAGAGGGTCTCAAGTTCGTGGAGGACTCTGCAGAGAGTGAGGATGGCGTGTCCGCCAGCGCCTTTGACTTCACGGTCTCCAACTTTGTGGACAACTTGTACGGGTATCCGGAGGGCAAGGACGTGCTGCGGGAGACCATTAAGTTCATGTATACGGACTGGGCTGACCGGGACAATGGCGAGATGCGGCGGAAGACCCTGCTGGCACTCTTTACCGACCACCAGTGGGTGGCCCCGGCTGTGGCCACTGCCAAGCTGCATGCCGACTACCAATCCCCCGTCTACTTCTACACTTTCTACCACCACTGCCAGGCCGAGGGCCGGCCGGAGTGGGCTGACGCCGCCCACGGGGACGAGCTGCCCTACGTCTTCGGGGTCCCCATGGTAGGCGCCACCGACCTCTTCCCCTGCAACTTCTCCAAGAATGACGTCATGCTCAGCGCAGTGGTCATGACCTACTGGACCAACTTCGCCAAGACTGGGTGAGGGCCAGAGGGCCCAGGGGGGGCTGGGTGGGACACCCCTGTGGGCTGAGGTCCCCTTGCCTTCCCCGGCGGCTTCTCCTTCCCACCTCGCCCCACACAGCCACCACGCCTCTAGGAAGACACTGGCTCTTACCTCCCCTTGCTCTCCTGAGACAAACTGCGTTTGTATTCAGGCACCGAGGGTCGGGGACTCACTGGCATTAGGAAGGTCCCCGTCTTTTCTGGGGTGGACTTTCTGGGTGGCTTTGTCGTGGCCGCTGGCTGACCACCTTGATCTGCATCTGAGTGTAGAGGGTTTGGGTTTCTGTCTGTCTGTCAAGGCATCTGCCTCTTTCCTGAAGTCCACTGACTTCTTTGCACGCTTTGGTTTTTGTCTCTGGGCTGCTCTCCCCAGGGCTGTCTTCCTGTCCCCTGGCTGTCTCTCATGGGCCTTTGTCTCTCCGTTTCTGTCTGTCTGTCTGAGCTCTGTGTCGCTGGCTAACTCTTCTAACTTCATCTCTGTCTCTGCAGTCTGTCTTCATAATTTTTGGGTTGCCCACCTGTTTCTCTCTCTCTGTGTCTCCTCTCTGCCCCCCATCTGTCTATCTGTCTCTCTCTGTCTCCTCTCTCCTCTCCCCCGTCTCTCTGTCTCTGTCTCTGTGTGTGTCTCTCCTCTCTGTCTCTGTCTCTCTGACAGGCTCTCACTACTTAGCCCAGGCCACCCCTCTTGAGTGCTGGGGTTGCAGGCATGCACCACCATGTCCAAGCTCTTCTAGCTTTAGAGGTGCAGCCCTCTCCCAGGTCTCCGACTTCTCCCCCTCCTCCGCTGCGGCTGCTCCTCAGGAGCCCCCTCACCCTCACGCCCCTCCTTGCCCTCCTGTGCCCACAGTGACCCCAACCAGCCGGTGCCACAGGACACCAAGTTCATCCACACGAAGCCCAACCGCTTCGAGGAGGTGGTGTGGAGCAAGTTCAACAGCAAGGAGAAGCAGTACCTGCACATAGGCTTGAAGCCGCGCGTGCGCGACAACTACCGTGCCAACAAGGTGGCCTTCTGGCTGGAGCTCGTGCCTCACCTGCACAACCTGCACACGGAGCTCTTCACCACCACCACCCGCCTGCCTCCCTACGCCACGCGCTGGCCACCCCGCACCCCCGGTCCCGGCACTTCCGGCACCCGCCGGCCGCCCCCGCCCGCCACCCTGCCGCCCGAGTCCGACATTGACCCCGGCCCGAGGGCCTATGACCGCTTCCCCGGTGACTCGCGGGACTACTCCACGGAGCTGAGCGTCACCGTGGCCGTGGGAGCCTCCCTCCTCTTCCTCAACATCCTTGCCTTTGCCGCCCTCTACTACAAGCGGGACCGGCGCCAGGAGCTCCGGTGCCGGCGCCTTAGCCCACCCGGAGGCTCAGGCTCAGGGGTGCCCGGCGGGGGCCCCCTGCTCCCCACGGCCGGCCGGGAGCTGCCTCCCGAGGAGGAGCTGGTGTCCCTGCAGCTGAAGCGGGGTGGGGGTGTCGGGGCGGACCCTGCTGAGGCCCTGCGCCCTGCCTGCCCACCCGACTACACCCTGGCCTTACGCCGGGCACCGGACGATGTGCCTCTCTTGGCCCCGGGGGCCCTGACCCTGCTGCCCAGTGGCCTGGGGCCCCCGCCCCCGCCCCCACCCCCTTCCCTCCATCCCTTTGGGCCCTTCCCACCTCCCCCTCCAACTGCTACCAGTCACAACAACACGCTACCCCACCCCCACTCCACGACGCGGGTATAGGGGGCGGCTTGGGGAGGCCTGCCTCCCTCACCCTCCCCAGCCCAGGCCACTTGAAGGCAGGGAGGAGGACTTGGCACC